TCTCTTTGCTTTTAGTGTCTTTTCTTTTAGTTAGGCTTCTCTCTCTCTCTCTCTCTCTCTCTCTCTCTCTCTCTCTCTCTCTCTCTCTGCATGAAAGAGACACGGAGATAGAGAGAACATTGTTTTCTGTTTCATTTTGTTCTTTTTATTTTTTCTTCTTTCCTTCTTGTCCTTTTCACCAGTTTCCCAAGGCTTATGCCATCTTCCTTTGCCTTTAGCCTTGCTCCTAATCTCCTTCACTTCCTTCATTTTTCTATCTTTTGCTCTTCCATGTTTTAAATTTTCTCCACTTAGGGTAAAATCACTCTATTGAGTGGATATTTACTGTATATAATCTTCTAACCTTGTACCTATGATTAATGATAACAAATTATTAGTTACCACAGTTTGCTATTTTCCAGTCTGTGCTTGATGATATTATTACTGATTATACTACTTTAACCAAGGTGACATAGTTGTGGTGATCAGTCGATCTTTCTTTTATGCCAGTACCTAGATTGTCTGGGTGGGGGTTCATAAAAATAACTATGGGATAGTACCAAAGAATTGGGTGCTATGACAAACAAGCTTCAATCTTTCATCTGTAATTAACAGAAGAGGCAGTATCCTGGTACAGATTCAAAGACCAAAGAGCTATGCCTAGAAGACATCTCTGAAAAGTAGCTTTTTCTAAAGAGGTCTTAATACTAGTAATAAAGCTACCTATCAAGAAATTTACAAGCATCAATACAGAAAACAAACATACAAAATGAAAGAAAAGAAAATGAAATGAGGGAACACAAAAGCAAGATGCAACCCAACAACCTCAACTAACCCAAGGCAAATCCAGTGAGCACTGAGATAGAAGAAATCAAAAGCAATCCAGCTGAACTTTCTGAAACAGAAGCAGTGGAAGTAACAAAACAGATGAATAAGTCTCTTGACTAAGCTAAAATAAAAATGATTACACAGATAATTAAATAGATGAAGATCATACTGAAGGAAATGGTTAACCTATACAGATACCGATGAAAAATTGAGAAGCTTAAAGACATGGAAACTATGAATGCTCAACATAGAAAAGAAACAAAAAGAACTGGATTCCATAAAACAGACTCAAATAAAAATTCTATTGAAAGTATACAATGCAGAGTCAATAAATATGAAGATAGAATATCAGATATACAACAAAGGGTGTGGTTGGTGATCATCTAATGATAGACTTCTAAATAGTAAGAAAGGATTGCAAAAAATCAGTTCAGTAGTTGCTAGATGATGCAAAGAAGACTAATATAAGATTAATTGGAATCAATGAAAAAAATAAGATGATAGCACAAAGGGTATAAAAACCTGTTTACAAAAGTAGCAGAAAACTTTCCAACATGGAGAAAGAATCTGACATATAAATAAATGAGGCATAAAGAATTCCAAATAGCCATGAGCCAACAAAGCCTAGGAATATAATAGTTGACACTGCAGAAATTTAACACAAGTACAAAATATTAAAAGCTTTATATGAAAGAAACAAATCACCTATAAGGGAGAACCTATCAGAATTATAGTAGACTTCTCAACAGAAATCATTAAGTCAAGGAGAGCAGAGTGAAGTATTTCAAATCCTTAAAGAAAATAAACTCCAACCCAGATTGCTGTGCCATACAAAATAATCTTTCAAAATTAACAGAGAAATAAGATACTTCAATGATAAAGAACACCTAAAGAAATTCAGGACTACCAGGTCAGCACTTCAAAAAGGTCTGATGGATATTCTACAAAG